TCGCGCCAGAGCTCTTATGTCAGTTTGGTGGCCGGCGCTATCTTGAGCAATCGAAGACTTGATCAAATCGTACTTCACATGTGCAAAGGAAACACCAGAACCTAAGGAACCCTTAATGCCTTCCTCCTTCCCCAGTCGTCCTTGGGAGAGAATAAGCATGGATCTGTTTGAGTATGGGGTACGAACATACCTCACCACGGTTGATTACTACTCGAGGTGGATTGAAATCAAGCAACTCAAATCCCAAACTGCAGAGAGCGTTGTCACAGCATCCAAAGAGCTTTATGCAACTCATGGAATACCAGATATAGTGATTTCAAATAACGGACCATGCTTCATTGTAGAATCCTTCCAAGAATTTGCTGTCAGTTATGGGTTTTTCTACATTACCAGCTCTCCCAGATACCTTCAAGCAAATGGAGAGGTTGAAAGGGCTGTAAGGACCGCAAGGGGATTGTTAACGAAGAATGAAGATCCCAACCTTGCTCTGCTCACCGGAGGTCCACCCCCTTGAAAAATGGCCTTTCACTCAGCGAGCTGTTAATGGGGAGAAGACTGCGAACCCAGTTCCCTGTACTCCCTAGTACCTTGGTTTCCAGAAATCTACTCAGAGAGCGTGAAGAAGTTGTAAAGAAAGAAGAGATTTCCGGATCTAACCAGAAGAGAAACTTCCACCGCCGACGTCAAGTACAGGAACTTCCGGATTTGACAACTGGTGAATCAGTATGGATCGGGATCAAGATAGACCTGGGAAAGTACAAGGACGTTCCCAGCATCCACGGTCTTACCTTATCGAGACAGAGAAAGGCACAATGCGTCGCAATGGATCTGCCCTTGTCAAAGCTGAAAGCCGCTCTACCCCTGTCATAGCAGATAACCAAGCCACCCTCACTAGTTCTGTTTGTGACCAGCCTGTGAATGACTGAGAAGGACATTCAGCAGGTGCATTTTAGTCCCCTTATGTTACCTCAGAAACTTGCCAAAAGCAGCCTGTTTACAGAGAATTGGCACTGATACAAACACGTTCTGGAAGGCTAGTCAGACTTCCTAACCGGTTGGACTTGTAGTTTACTATGGACAATAATTTTTTGACACTGTTCAGGGCATTTATCCCAGTAATGTCGTTTCTGTTTGGGTTATGCCCTATCGAGACTTTGAAACGTTTGCCTCCACCCCTTATCGTCAGACTTTTGATAGGAAAATATTCGGTGGGCGTTACTCTGATTATCTTTGTTATTCAGTTTCAACAGATAGTTCGGTACTAAGAGGGGAGGTATAGAGTTAGGCCAATCTCTACCAATGTCAATCACTTTAACCTTGCGCGTTGCATGCTGGGACCATTCTCTTCACGTGTTCAACTCGACATCTCACTTGTTCACTGCGCTCACTTGTGAGCTATCGATTTAAACACTCCAAGAGAATTCCCATAGCTACGCGCACCCATGTATTATTATTTATTTATCATATAAACTACGATGCTATACAAGGATTTCCAACCCTAAGAAAAGCCGTAACAATACGATATTTTTTCACGTGTTTGATATTGCCAATCTGCTGCTGACAAGTCACTCGCCTTTCGCGCCACTCGGTCAGGTTGATGAATGAACGGCAAATCCTTCACCTTTCTAAATCCAAGGTCGTTTGTCGGAATATTTTCGGATTATGGAAATTCCATGTCTACGCGCACCCATGTATTATTCTTTATTTAATAATAATAAAGTTCGGATATAACGCGCGCTGTCATTGGTTGAAAGAGCGTGCTCTATGAGAGTATAGAGCATAGAGCTGAGCTGAAGCTGTCACGCCATCTGCCAAATTGTACTATGTTCGACCTTTTCCGGGAATTCTTTTTAGCTTTTTTCCGATAATTGAAAGTGAAATTTCGGAACAAGCGAGCCGGCAAGTAGCAATAGAAGAACCAAACAAAGGTTTGTAAACTTACCAGGCGCCGTAATTTACGTTATTGAAACGTGAGCAGATACGAAAATCCTCAAAGGAAAAACAAACTAGACCCTGTGAGCAGGGTAACTGGGATACCTGAATGGTACTGGATTCTTGGAATCAAGTGTAGTGATACTACGGGTGTCGGACTAGTATACTGAAATAGTGCGCTCAAGTCTGGCCAAGGGCATACACCTATTTCAAAACATAGGCATGCTATGCATGCAAGAGTTACTTTTTTGTAGGGTGGGTGGATTACTTGAAACATTGTGAGTGATGTCTACATTCTTACAAAAGGAGAGAAGAATATTAATGTGGGAAAGAACGAAAATGTCGAATTACCTCACTTACAGGTATTTTGTGGTAGATTATGTGTGTTTTGCGAATAAATGTAACCAAAAATAAACTGTATTGGTGCCACGCATACCTATTAGTACAAAATGCAGACAGCAGACTGCAGACCGGATACAAAATAAAGACTGCTGTTAAGAAGAAAGTGCCGGACTGGCGTGTCGTGCAATTAGCTCGCGCGCGCTGAGACATTTAACGTTAATCAGTCGTAAGCAAGTTACGATTACGATTTCTCGCGTGTGTGTTGTCGGAGTTTTAGTCGCAGTTTTTAGTCGCATTTTTTAGTCGCATTTTTTAGTCGCATTTTTTAGTCGCATTTTTTAGTCGCATTTTTTAAGTCGCATTTTTTAGTCGCATTTTTTAGTCGCATTTTTTAGTCGCAATTAGTGGCAGTTTTCTAGCGGCATTTAGTCGCATTTCGGAGATTTTCGTTATCGCTTGTGTTTTCCAGTTTAGTCGCATTTAGGAGGTTTTCGTTATCGCTCCCGAACAACTGCAGACTGCAGAGTGGGTACAAAATGCAGACTAAGAATCGGAAGAGTTTTTACGTCTGGTATATAATAACATGTCATCTTACAGCTTACCGAGCGTCACGCAATCGCTTTTCTGCGATCCGCCTTCACGATTATTTGCACTATTGTGGAATATTCCTGGCCCACTTCTTGATGAAAATCGATCGCAATATTATTTCAAGCCTTCAATATAGTCTTCTTAATTTGCGCGCGAGTTGGTTGGTGTGATGTCTGTACAGATTTTACCAACGTTGTAAAAGTAGATGACGTGAATAACAGTAATGGTAAAGCAAGCTTAAAACGACAGAAATCTCCAGAAAATACAACGGATACACAGGGTATGAGTAAGTTTTATTGATTTTACGAGAAAAATGTTCATATTTCGAAATATGTATCGTTGTAAATCGACCATACTTCTTTCCCTATACTATTCCTTATAACGTGCAGTTCCTCTCGTAACTTAACACCGAGTCACACAACGCGTGACGCGTTCATGAATTAATCGTTGGCTTTTTCTCGAGACGTGAGCTTGGGCCGCCTGTGACAAGAGAATTGCGTAAACAATATTTAACATAATAACATTATACACAAAAAAACACAGGGTTTTGGATAACGTATTTACTCAAAAAGAATATCCATAAAACTACAATGAAAACAAACATAACATTCACCTTTCTGATCGTGAAATTAATACCATTCGTACTGTTATCGTAGCTACGTTCCTTGCCATCAAGTAAATCCAACATGTCGTCTTTCTTCACAAGCAGTTTGCATCCATTATAGTTATGTTCTTCAGTCTCACGGTAGTAGTGTTGTTCAATAGATTGCATAGAGTATATGCAGTTTGGTTTCAGATTTCAGATTTTGCTTTTTACAACAAGTGAACTTTTTTCAACTAAGACATTGGCATACCAGGCATTCAAGGCTTTCAAGCGTTGGCGACTCAATCCGTTCCAAAATTACCGCTCAATAACATCTTTCAGTGTGGATTAGCCGCGATTAATACGACTTGTATATGCGTCTGTAAGTATTTTGCGCGTTTGCGCCATAATGCTCCAGGAGATAGCAATCCAAATACGTTGAAATACAAAATAACTGACCAAAGAGTTTTATAAGCAAAATCTCGTGATTCGTTATGTGACCCGGCCCTGTCTGTGCATGACAACGTCAATCATCATCAAGATAACACGCGTGATCAGCATGTGAACACCTCATTGGATCACAGTTAGTTGTCATGGTGTTGAGGGCCCAATGACCTCTGGGTACTATTGCGTAATTTTTCCATTTTGTGGCGGAGGAAAAAAAAAAGACAAAGGCATGTATGACTGGGCTACCACAGGTATCCCAGTAAATAGAGAAGCCTTGACTGTGCTCTGTTCTGTTATAAAGCACTTAGGAGGCGGCTAGAGCACTCAAGAAGTGGGGTCTTGTCTCGTCTCGTGTTTCTCCCTACACTTCTCTCGTGCTCTAGCCGCTTCCTGTGTGCTTTATAACAGAACAGAGCACAGTCAAGGCTTCTCTATTTGTTAAATAATAAGCTCAAATATGTACGCATCTATTGGAGGACAGACGTATAGATGACGTCAATTAAAACTTTTTAAAATTCTTTATTATATAAAACAAACAGATTCCAAGTTGCCGTGCGTCAGTGCAGTAATAGATCACAGAGGACGTCAAAAATGTGGTAAGAAAATCAGTGACACTCGGCTGCGCCTCGTGTGCCACTTCTTTGTTTTTTACCACATTTTGACGTCATCCTTGATCTATTACTACACTGACGCACGGCAACTTGGAGTCTATTTGTTAACTATTTAATTTCCAACGTACTTTCTGAACCATCAAGCTTTGTTTTTATGTCACCAAAACGGTCAAATCAAAGAGAGCTTGATTATTTTCTGAACCTTTGAAAAGTGTTTTGATCCATGTTCACCTTTGATCTTTTGTGTAGCATGAAAAGAAAGTGACTTTGTAATGCACTAATAACCACTTCTCGGTTATTTTGTAACGCATGATTACTTATTCTGTTGTGGAAAGTTTTGGGCATTATGTTGAGTTTTTGCACGCTATTTGGAACCGGCCAGTAAAGCTGAATAAGGTCTAGTTCTGCTTGACTACTGACTATAACGGCCTCCTCGCACGAGCCCGGGTTGACGTGCAACATAGTTTGAATAACCAAAAAGGCATTCATAAGAGCGCGATAGACGTTAAGTTACGGAATCCGACAATGGCGATGATGAATCTTCCTAAAAGTGAAGGTTCTCCCGAGGAAATACCGCAGAAACCACCGACGTTTTTGAATACGGTGAAGGCAGTGGTTTTTAAGAATTTGTTCCCTATAAGCTTGGTCTTTTTCGTAGCTTTAGGAATTTTGGCTCCAGAACCTGGTGTCTTCTTCAGCAAATTACCGACCCACTACGTCTGTGTCATAGGTATCTTCCTTCACAGTGGACTCAAACTTAAAACAGGGGAAGTGACAGACGCCTTTAAAGCATTCAAGGCTCTGATCTGGGGTGTTATTTGTATTTTGTTGATTACGCCGATTGTTGGTGGGCATTTAACTGGATTGTTACCATTCACTGTCACAAAGAGTCATGCTACGAAAGACCGCTCTGACATAAATGGAAGTAATTCTTGGAATGGAACTTCCTTGTCCCCTGAGGAAAACCCAGAGGGTAGTTCAATACTTGGTCCATTTTTTTTTCAAATAGGAATGCAGATTTATTTCATTGTGCCGTGTACGATCTCATCCGGCGTTATCTTGGTAAGTTCAAAACTTGTTATAGAGTGATAGAGAATTTTTTATGGAACTGGTGAGATAGGGGAAAGTTTCATTCTTTATCCAAAACCTCCTCCTTCCCTACACACCCACAACACTTGCAGAATAGTGGGGTTTTTATTATTATCATTAATTAATTTATTTTGTCAAGGAAATTGTGACTTTTTCTCCAAAACAGCCGAAAAATCTGACCCCGATCCAACATTTTGTCAAAGATGTCAATAATCAGCTATATTTTAGAATATTTTATAACCTTTAAGTTTTTCCTGGCCGTGTAAATGTGTTGGGTTTTTGGGCAAAATACTCACACTGCCTCTCTCCACCAAGGAGTATAAATGGGTACAGGCAAATTGTATGATGAAACTCTGAGGGAGGAAAAGGAGGGGGAAACCTTGTGATGGACTAGCATCGGGGGAGGGGGGTAGTGATACTCCTTGTTGCTTCATGCCTAGGAAACTGGGATAAGCTCTAGCTGGGATGGGCGGCCATATGGCTTAGGGGCAGACTTTGCATTTTCCTTTTAATTTCCATAATTTAAAGCTGCATAAAAAGAGAAATGATTTGTTGTATTTTTAATATCCTCAAGGGGTGTGGATACAACAAGGAACTTCTCTGGGCTTGGAGAACATGTTCAACATTGTAGATTTAGATAGAAATTAGGCAAAACGTATATTGTTCTTATTTCAAGAAAAAAAACTCTTATATTAACCAGCATTTTTCCCAAAGAAATTTTTTAAAGAGGAAAAACAACAAAATAATGAACTGCGAAGAGAACTCCTTGTTTTATCTGAAAGTCTAAAGCAATAACAGCAATAACTAATAGCAATAACTTCTGAGTTGGTTAGAATTGTTCTTAAAAGTGTCTTAAATCCAGGTTGGGCTGAATGAATAATTGACACAGACACCAACAGAACAAACGTGATCAACATGTGAAACATTTTTTAGGTGCATGTGAAACAAATGAGCTAAGTTAACATCTCTCTTTCATATTCAAGTGCCCAACTTTCATAAGATTCAATTTTATTTTAAGTTCAAAAATCGGATTTTTCATCATTTCTAGTCAAAGAAGTAAAATTCAGACAGATAGAAATTTCCCAAAATTTAATCTCTTATTTCTGGGAACGTATTGAAAACACGGGGAATTGAAAAACTGCAGAGCAAAATGTAATCGTGTTCTTTGAAGTTTATCAGCACTTGTTTTTATCAACACGATTTAAGCACACACAAGCACTTCGATTTATTGGAGAAGTATTTTACCATATTTTGTAAATCACATTGAAAATGTAATCTTCTTGCATTTAACTAACCTTTATCATAATATTGAGTTTGAGAATAGATTTAGTAAACTGAAGGAACACCGAATAACTTCTAAGGATCGCGCGGAACAAGCAAGACCACGGCAAACAATGGCATTTGCCAGGTTACTAAGCTACAGTAATCGTTCGACGAAATCAAAAGTTCAGCACCGTGACCGTAAACAA